CTAAAGTCACCTGAACGAAATTTGCTGAACCATCGTTGACACTTAGCAAACATTCAAAACATTTCCATAAACTTCTTTTGATATTTTTTGTGGCTACAGAGGCGTTGTTTCCTTTGTTGTATTCAAACAGCATTACACGCCGAATGTGAGTATCGTCGTGTGCCATCACTATAACGGATTAGAGTATACCAAACTTTACACAGTATATAGGCTATACTAACGTGATGTACATTTTTTATGGGGTAGTTAATGAAAGTGTCCCAGAACGCGACATTAATTTCTTGGCTTCTTTGATATTTTTTGTGGCTACAGAGGCGTTGTTTCCTTTGTTGTATTCAAACAGCATTACACGCCGAATGTGAGTATCGTCGTGTGCCATCACTATAACGGATTAGAGTATACCAAACTTTACACAGTATATAGGCTACACTAATGTGATTTGTTTAACTATTAAACGTGATGTACATTTTTTATGGGGTAGTTAATGAAAGTGTCCCAGAACGCGACATTAATTTCTTGGCGACCTAATACCTAGTGCTATTCTATGCTTTATTTTTCAGACCTACTTTCTCTTGATGTGAAAAGTTTTTGTGGGTTTTCCCTGAGGACCAACAATCTGACGGGAGAGGGCGCTTCTCTCAAAGAACGCAAGGCTTCAGTCGCTGGTTGATCCCTCAGGGGAATCTCATTTACCTGTGTAGATGATGAAGAATACGGTAACGTGGTTCAGATATTTGTACTGTTTATTGATTTTTAAGACCACAATGCCGTGATTTAGGTATTTGCACTGTTTATTGATTTTTTCCTGACGTCATTTCCTATAATCAAACGATGTCTAGAGCCTCAGCTACATGATTGTGAAGCTTTATTCAGTGTGTGTAAATAAGGTTTAGCGTAGATACAGAATCCATATACACGTTTAAACAAGTTTTAAAGTGGGTAGATAGGCTAACAATGTGTCAGGTTTATTTCTGAACATTGTAAAACATAGCAGAAGTACTTGTGTTTATATTTATTCCGTAAAACTAAACTGTACTGTGTCACAAAGAAAGGGGTTAATCTGTAAAACTAAACTGTACTGTGTCACAAAGAAAGGGGTTAATCTGAAAAACTAAATTGTACTGTGTCACAAAGAAAGGGGTTAATCTGAAAACTAAATTACACTGTGTCACAGGATAACAAGGTAAATGATGTTTCTAGTTCTTAAACATATATATATATGAGATAATAACAGTAAATCCGATAGAAACATAATGAAAACAAGTGTTTATTAATTTACTTTTTAAAAGTGCATGCTTTAGAATATCGTTTTCGAAAATGTAGTGCGTTTTCTTTAAAATATGCATTATTACATTCAGATTATAAAATACACTTAATGGTTAGATGTGTTTATTTTTTGTTTTAAGTTATATATGTTGAATTTCAAATGATAAAACAAATATTATTGGCCATGTATAGAAATTTTGTTTTTAAAGTTAAAATTATTAGACTTTTTTTTTTAAAGGATAACGCTTAATAGAACGTCAACAGAGAAATGAATACTTAACCCACCGCTAGGAGAAGATCCCCAGCCTTCAATCGTCCATCTTTGTAGGCTGCTCCTCCATGGTGGACTTTAGTTACACATACCACTTCCTGAAAAATGTCATAATGTGCCCAGTAAGTGCTTGTTTAAAATATGAAATAAAAAACAGCCAATTTCGGCACTATGTATCACCTTTTGCACTACCAAGTTTATCTAGTATGCTATTGTGAAGAGCTCAGTATTACCCGCTAGATGCCGCTGGTATTATGTAATTACGCTATTGTTAAATATTCATTGGCGTAATGAAATCGGCGTTCCCAGTTGTTTGATTGTTAATGTTACTTTTAACAATCACTGATATTTGAAGTTATTATGTTCTGTTATTCATAATATCATCTGCATTATATTCAAATATTTACCTGTAGATGTCACCGCTAAGACGTGTCTATCATACTACCATAAATACTGTAACCAGCATTTGGATATTTTATGATATTTGAATGCATATAATGTTAGACGTCATCACTGTTTACTGCTTATCATCCTCTAACTATTATTTACATTTTTAATTATATTCAAATGTTCACCGCCAGGTGTCATCATTGTTTAATGCTCATCATCCTCTAACTATTATTTACATTTCTAATTATATTCAAATATTCACCGCCAGGTGTCATCATTGTTTAATGTTCATCATCCTCTAACTATTATTTACATTTCTAATTATATTCAAATGTTCAACGACAGGTGTCATCATTGTTTTCTGCTCATCATCCTCTAACTATTATTTACATTTCTAATTATATTCAAATGTTCACCGCCAGGTGTCACCAATATTCTGCTCACCAAATAAGTGTCGCTTCCACCAGCCACACTGATTCCAAGATCATTCTTGTCTTTTTTCAGGACTATTGTAGTCTCCACAAAGTCTTGAATGTTGCTTAATGGTCCTGTACAGGAAAACAAAATTAATTAGCATCTCGTCTGAATAGTCATGAAAAGGTAGTCCCAGCTTTCAGTTAATCCAGTTCGTTGATTATATTAATTAGTAAAATAGATTTAAATCGAACTTTCTCCAAATTCAATCATTTTTTGTGTGTTTAGGTATATTTTAAATAAAATATAAACATTTATATAATTTTCTTCTTCTTGTACCTTTTACGATATTTCGAAGCTTTATTTCGTAAGTAAGATTAAATTGGTAAAACAATATATTAAAATTACTTACTGGTTTGTTGTGTTTCAGATGTTCGCACAAAATTACCCCAGGATTATCTGCATGATAGTCCCTAATTTTAAACCAAGAGTCTAAAGGGAAGGAATCCCCCCTCCCAAGTGGCACAGCGGTATGTCTGCGGACATACAACGCTAGAATCCGGGTGGGCAGAGCACAGATAGCCCATTGTGTAGCTTTGTGCTTAATTACAAACAAACTAAAGGGAAGGCGGGTAGTCAACAGCCCCCATCGCCAGTAGTTGGGATTTGACCGTTACGTTTTTAATGTACGGTGCGAAGCGTGATTTTGCGACAACAGGTCACGAAACATGGTACCTTAGATTCCCAGTCAAGCATGTCACAAATGGAGTACCTTAGGTCTTAGGACCCGTACTCTTTTTGATTTACATCAATGACATACATGAAGGAATGGTCAA